TTGGAAATCACAGAGGTCAGACGTTTCTTGTAGTTGGCCACCAGGTTTGCACACATCTCAGGAGGGATTTTGTCCCACTCCTCTTTGCAGATCTTCTCCAAGTCATTAAGGTTTCTAGGCTGATGTTTGGCAACTCGAACCTTCAGCTCCCTCCACAGATTTTCTATGGGATTAAGGTCTGGAGACTGGCTAGACCACTCCAGGACCTTAATGTGCTTCTTCTTGAGCCACTCCTTTGTTGCCTTGGCCGTGTGTTTTGGGTCATTGTCATGCTGGAATACCCATCCACGACCCATTTTCAATGCCCTGGCTGAGGGAAGGAGGTTCTCACCCAAGATTTGACGGTACATGGCCCCGTCCATCGTCCCTTTGATGTGGTGAAGTTGTCCTGTCCCCTTAGCAGAAAAACACCCACAAAGCATAATGTTTCCACCTCCATGTTTGACGGTGGGGATGGTGTTCTTGGGGTCATAGGCAGCATTCCTCCTCCTCCAAACACGGCGAGTTGAGTTGATGCCAAAGAGCTCGATTTTGGTCTCATCTGACCACAACACTTTCACCCAGTTCTCCTCTGAATCATTCAGATGTTCATTGGCAAGTTCAGACGGGCATGTATATGTGCTTTCTTGAGCAGGGGGACCTTGCGGGCGCTGCAGGATTTCAGTTCTTCACGGCGTAGTGTGTTACCAATTGTTTTCTTGGTGACTATGGTCCCAGCTGCCTTGAGATCATTGACACGATCCTCCTGTGTAGTTCTGGGCTGATTCCTCACCGTTCTCATGATCATTGCAACTCCACAAGGTGAGATCTTGCATGGAGCCCCAGGCCGAGGGAGATTGACAGTTATTTTGTGTTTCTTCCATTTGCGAATAATCGCACCAACTGTTGTCACCTTCTCACCAAGCTGCTTGGCGATGGTCTTGTAGCCCATTCCAGCCTTGTGTGGGTCTACAATCTTGTCCCTGGCATCCTTGGAGAGCTCTTTGGTCTTGGCCATGGTGGAGAGTTTGGAATCTGATTGATTGATTGCTTCTGTGGACAGGTGTCTTTTATACAGGTAACAAGCTGAGATTAGGAGCACTCCCTTTAAGAGTGTGCTGCTAATCTCAGCTCGTTACCTGTATAAAAGACACCTGGGAGCCAGACATCTTTCTGATTGAGAGGGGGTCAAATACTTATTTCCCTCATTAAAATGCAAATCAATTTATAACATTTTTGACATGTGTTTTTCTGGATTTTTTTGTTGTTATTCTGTCTCTCACTGTTCAAATAAACCTACCATTAAAATTATAGACTGATCATGTCTTTGTCAGTGGGCAAACGTACAAAATCAGCAGGGGATCAAATACTTTTTTCCCTCACTGTACATACATATACACTCCTTCAGCTCCATTCAACACCTCCCATCTATCTTGTAACACCATCCATATTGGATTTCTATTTGCCATATATTTTTCAACTGTACTGTGATGTTTCACAAAAGTTCTGAACCTTTCTATTCTCATTGTTTCTACAGATCGTAAATTGAATATAAACATTTTTGCTAAAAGTATTATTATATTATTGATCGATTGACTATGACTTTTCAGATCACCAAGTAGTGCTATCTGCAGGGTTAGCTCCAGGTAAATATCGCAATCCTTTAGCCATTCCTGGACCTGTGTCCAAAAACAAGCTACAAATGGACAGTACCAAAACAAATGATCTAATGATTCTGTCTAATCGCAGCAAAATCTGCAGAGCTGGGAAGATTGTATCCCCCATATAAATAACATTCTATTGGTAGCAAGAATTTTATATAATAATTACAATTTTAAAATTCAAAGTTTTGAATCCGGCGTCGTTTTGCGTATCAATTCATAAACACTATGCCATGGAATCGGTACGTCAAAAATCTCTTCACAACTATTTTGCAATCTATATGGGACGGCTGTCAATCCTTTGGTCCTTAAATGAAACTGGTATACTTTTTTATTTATCACAATTTTCTTAACCAATTATATTCTTTAATGCAAGGCCGACAGACAAGTTCCTTACTTTTTCCCCCTTCCACTTTCCATTTTTGCGGTAATGCTGCAATTATTTGGTTGTAATTTTGGGTAGAGCAGACATTTCCATGTCTTTGTTAGCTGCATGTGCGACATAACTCCACCAGTCCAACCAATATCATTTACGAAGATTATACCTTTTTTAAACATAAATTTTTTTTTAAAAAAATATCAATTAGTATATTTGAGTTTAACCACAATATTTGTTGCATTATTTGTTCTGTCGTTTCTGTAGGATTAAATTGAAATTGCAACCAACTTTCTATGGCTTGTTTTAGAAATAGTGATATTTGGGAGATTATTTCCTTTTCAAATAACTTAAAGTGAGAGGTTGTAATCTGAATAAAGGGAAAAAGGCCATTCTTGAACATTGGGTGAGACAATTTTACTAATTTGCTAGAGAACCAGTTCGGATTTAAGTATAACTTATGTATAACTGAAGCTTTTAGTGATAGGTCTAATGTTTTAATATATCATCATTTCTGTCCTCCGAATTCATATTCATTATATAAATAGGCCCTTTTAATTTTGTCGATTTTGGTCTCATCTGACCACAACATTTTCACCCAGTTCTCCTCTGAATCATTCAGATGTTCATTGGCAAACTTTGGCCATGGTGGAGTGTTTGGAATCTGATTGATTGCTTCTGTGGACAGGTGTCTTTTATACAGGTAACAAGCTGAGATTAGGAGCACTCCCTTTAAGAGTGTGCTCCTAATCTCAGCTCGTTACCTGTATAAAAGACACCTGGGAGCCAGAAATCTTTCTGATTGAGAGGGGGTCAAATACTTATTTCCCTCATTAAAATGCAAATCAAATTATAACATTTTTGACATGCGTTTTTCTGGATTTTGTTGTTATTATTCTGTCTCTCACTGTTCAAATAAACCTACCATTAAAATTATAGACTGATCATGTCTTTGTCAGTGGGCAAACGTACAAAATCAGCAGGGGATCAAATACTTTTTTCCCTCACTGTATATACTTATAGATTGGTTAGTGATGAGCAAGGTATTATAATAATAATAATAATAATAATAATAATAATAATATGCCATTTAGCAGGTATTCCTTCTCTTTCAGCCTCGTCAACAATACACTAATATAAACAGGTATCACTTCCCCACTTGATATGGCTTCTAGTCAAATCATGGATGATGTTAGCTAAAGTTATGGGGTGCTATTTAGGGAATAAAGTACCATTAATTATTTCCTGATGCTAAGTTTATGTACATACGACAAAATGCTTTCCCAAAGCTAGTTTATTTTGTATACTGTACACCATACTTACAGTACATTTGCATGTTGACCTGTACTTTAAGTGAAGGGATTTTTTTAAATGATTGTGTTTGCTTCTATATTTATTACTATACCTTTCAATAAAGCTTTTTTTTTTTTTTTTATATACAACTTTTCAATTGATTTTTGTTAAATCACGCAAACACAATTAACCCAAAAAAACAAGGTTACATGCAGTCTCAGCATGCATTACAAACACAGACTTTATGTACAGGTACACCATTTAATATTTATTATAGACATTTTATATACATTACTTTTCAACAGTTGCATTTTGCTATGTGGTACAATCTTTAAAATCTGCTGATTCATAGTTTGTAAAACAAAAACCTTACAAAACTCATCAAAACTCACAAACTAACCAGAACCTTTTTTTGGAAGACTAGAAAAAATATTTTATTGTATTTATCATGCATTACACAAACAAAAGTATTTAGTTACACCATAAATTGTAGCATGTTTGAACATAAAATTGTTTTGCAGGATAAAAGAGAAAAGTACAACCAAACAAAAGACTGAGTCGTGATTAATCTTACGTTTGCTATTCCAATCCCTTAAAACAAAATTAAGAAAAATAAAACGGTTACACCCCATGCTTGCTTCAAAGCACTGATTTATAGCATTAAGATGTCTAATAACCTGTGATAAATAAACTAAAATACAGTAAGGTGTACAAAAATATCACATAGTGATAGGATGATGCAGTTTATTTTAAAAGAGAGCGCTCTCTCAGGAAGCCATGAACTGTGCTTCTTTTAGTCCTATAGTCTTTACTCATGTGACAAGACCGTGTCAAAGCAATGTAAGAGATCACATCCTTGGGTTAGGAAGGGCGAGTTCACTGAGTGTTTTCAGTGACGTGGGAACAGTAAGATGATGGTTGTGGGGGACAGCATGAGTTGTGATGAAGGGTTCAGACCGGGAATAAATATTCCCTTCTTTTTTTATTTATATACATAATTTTCAGTGCTGTTATGACAGACTTTATTTATATAAAAAGGATTATAAAAACTATATTTATTTTTTTACACAAAAATGTCATGGAACTAATGCTAAAGTGTGAAGTTGATTGACTATATTTCATTCATTATTTTTCTCACTACATGATGTTGTTGAGTGGACGCCTGACTGACTCATGTTTAGTGTGAACTGAACTGACGCCGCAGGGTCTCCCGGTCGGCCCACCAGGGGCTGTGGCCACGTCCTGTTAAATAGAAACTATCAGAGCCAGCCCTGTATGGTTGGGGTCAGCCCTGTAGTATGAATCAGATGAAATCTCAAATTCTCCCTCGGTCACTGAACTATACCTACAGAACAGATATTAGCTCAGCTCAAACCCAGTCAAAAAGGCTACATACACTAGTTTGTTTTACTCCAGCTTTTTTAACTTACAGTAAATTACAGGTAAATGTTGTTGTTGTTTTAGTTTGAAAACAGGATAAAATTGATTGGGCGCTTCTCCACCCTCCACGCCTGGCATAAGTCCCCTTGGCACCTGGTTTGTGTTGAGTTTAACAGGGATGGGGGTGGAGGGAGGCAGCTTCAATGTAGTGTCATAAAATGCTACTCTTGTTACACAAGGCAGTGAAGCAGTCCATTCTTTCTTTCTGTGTCTACACACTCAGCTCAACCTGGCAGAGCAGCACTGGTCTACTACACAAACACTTTGGCCAGGGCGTCGGCCCCTGCACTTGCTATGTATGCCTTAGACGGGTGGAAGGCAACGTCATAGATGGACTCGTCAGACTTCTTGCGGTGGGCAGTGATCTCCTGCACACAGGTCTTACTGTCCAGGTTCCACAGACGGATAGAGCAGTCGTGGCCTGCGGATGAGGAATGTGTTCAGTAGGGAGAAAACATTTTGAAACAGAGGTACTAGCTACCTGAACCCAAAAAGAAGACTTCCCTTGTCCATACAAAACGTTTTGCTACAGTGTGAGTGAGCAGTAGCGGATTCAGTGGCGTTGCTTGAACTTACTTCCTGACATCAGGTAGATTCCGTTGGGGTCCACAGCCAGGCTGGTGACGGCATCCAAGTGGGCCACCATCGCATGGATCACTTTACCTACACGACAGACAGACGTAACAGTCAGTGCAGAGGTATGGCAGACAGACAGGCAGACATAACAGTCAGTACAGCGGTATGGCAGACAGACAGGCAGACGTAACAGTCAGTACAGAGGTATGGCAGACAGACAGGCAGACGTAACAGTCAGTACAGAGGTATGGCAGACAGACAGTCATTCTCCCATCTAGGCTGAGTGTGTCCACTCCTGTCCACTTACCCGATTTATTGTCGAAGAACTTGATGTTTCTGTCCTCGTGGGCCGTGATGGTTACAGGCAGGGTGGGGTGACTCACTACCTTGTTGATGTGGTTGGCTGCAGGCAGAGCTGAAAACATACAGAAGAGAGAATGGATCAACACTACACTCACTATTAATACACCATCTGGAATGAAGACCGTTAAAACTGTTTACTTCTTCTCTAGGAGGATATATCATATATCTTGCATGGTCACAGGAGAACAACAACAGTAGCTAAAAAATTCCCCAGTCCTACCACAGAGCTTAGGGTTATAGTCTCTCTAGTGTGTTAGAAAAGGCTATAGGCTAGGGTTTGGACTAGGTTAGGATTCTAGTCTAAATTGTAGACTTACTGCTCTCCCCCTGACCAGCGAACACCACGGCGGTCTGTGAGGTCTCCAGGTCATAGATCACAGCGTTGCCCGTATTGAAGGACGCCACCATGTGGGCGGGGTCACAGCCGTTGAAATCCACCGCAGTGGGGATGCCGTGCTCTGTCGTAGACAGACAGACACACACACACAAAGACAACGGTCAGTTAAAGAGCCTTTTGCACTTCCACTCTCTGACCTTGGCCACTTGACACACCAGCCATAGACAAGTGCCATTGTCATGTTATGTCCGTGTGAATAACAAGCTCTCCATCACACTACTGGGGAAGTTGAAGTGCACAGCATTTGGATGCATACCATATGGATTTCTCTTAAAGGAAGGGAGAATTTAATATAAAACAATTTATTTAACTCCAACTTTGCTCTAAGACAAATGGAACTCAGTTAAGCTATTTGGGCCTTATTAATGGAATACTAAGTCTAGTGCTATGTTCTTACCTTTCTCTGCATTGTAAGTGCTGATGCATGGGTTCTTCTCCTGGGGGTTCCACAGCTTGACTGTTCCGTCTGCGGAGCAGGACAACAGGCGGTTCTTGATGCCGCTGTAGGCCAGCCCCCACACGGCGTCTGTGTGGCCCAGCCAGGTTCCAGCCAGGACGCTGGGGTCTGAGGGGTTGGAGGAGGGGACAGGGTCAGTCATACCCATACAATAAGGAAGGAAAAACAGCTCTGTGATTACTCAAGGACGTGATTGGAATAAAGTGAAGAAAAAGTATACTAGTCGATTCCAATAATATGATAGATGAATGAAAGTATTCCTGACTTCTGTTAGTGTGGTCAATGTCTAAAGGCACAGAGGATAGACAGAATATTGGCCATGCTAAATGTGCCAACCTTACCATAGGTGTCATAAGGGTCTACGTTGGAGCTGGGGATGTTCCACCACTGTATTGTGTGGTCAATCCCTCCACTGTAACACTGCTCTCCACTGGAAGTCATAGCCAGGGACAGCACAGGCCCCCTGAGGAGAGGAAAGGCGTATCAGAAAGGTGACTTTTAATGCTCCGTACTAACAATAATTTACATCATTATACAGTGAGAGAAAGCTATATGCAAAACAGTTTTATTGATGGATTACAGTTTTACCGTATTAAGTTGTGTTTTTTACCACTGCTCCTTCCGGTAATTAGATACTTACACATGAGCTCTGAATGTGTATATAGGCTCCACATCAAAAGAGGCACTTCTAATGAAGAGGAAACAAACAATTATTTAAAAAGGGTTTTCATACCTATTTAATATAATGATGCATTCTAGAATTCCAGAATGACAAGTTAATCCAACCATGTAAACAAGTGTTTGTGTGTGTGTGTGTGTGTTTACTTTTTGGCAGGCACAGTCTTCTGCAGGTTCCACAATTTGAGGGTGTGGTCCTCAGACACGGTGACCAGGACAGGCTCTACAGGATGGAAGGCCAGGGCCCTGACCCCGTCAAAGTGGCTGCGCAGTGTGTACTTGGGATTCCACGTCTTCCTGAACGTGTCCTTATTGGCTGGCAGCTAAAAATAGATAGACCGGACAGGAGAGGAGAAGAGAAGGGCAACTTTAAACAAGTGTGGAGTGAAAAATAGAGACAGGTTGGTGGTGAGTTAGCTAGGGGGGAATAGACAGCACTAGAAGATGTTATGTACTAGGACTACTTGAGTGCGGTATGCCCCTCCATTTCCTAATGAAGCCCCTAATGGACATGCTTGGGATGATTCTGACCAACTGTCAAAGCTAGAACATTTCCCCTCTCAACGCTCTGTGTATGTGAGGTGGCTGAGGAGGAGGCGAGAGGTTCAGGGAGAGATTCAGGAGGAAAGAGAGAGGGGCAGGGAGGGGTTGAGGAGGAGAGAGGGGGGCAGAGAGGGGTTGAGGAGGAGAGTGAAGGGGGGCAGGGAGGTGTTGAAGGAGAGAGAGAGGGGCAGGGGGGTTTTCAGTGTGGGGGGTTGGAGTTGTTCAGGGATGGCAGGTAGGACTTGTGGTACTTACATCATAGCTGTAGTCGGCCTCGTCATTGGAGACGGTGAGGTCAGCTAGGTCTCCCAGTCCCAGGACACTCTCCAACACGTCATCAGAGCCCATGATAAAGGACTTGCCCCCGCCTGAGGGAAACGGTAAGGGCTCAGCTAAGAATAGGACGGAGAGGAGAGGAGGAGGTTTTAGTAAACACTATACAGGCCACACCTAGACAGAGACAAAGATGCTTGGTAAACAAAGATCTCAGCTCCTCTCAGTGGGGTGCTAAAACATTCACCCGAATGGGAAAGACTGCAGCGCACACACTAAGCTGATTGACATGGCTAGACAAGCTTTTATGTCTAACACTTAAGGAGACATACAGTGGGGAAAAAAAGTATTTAGTCAATCACCAATTGTGCAAGTTCTCCCACTTAAAAAGATGAGAGAGGCCTGTCATTTTCATCATAGGTACACGTCAACTATGACAGACAAATTGAGAAAAAAAAATCCAGAAAATCACATTGTAGGATTTTTTATGAATTTATTTGCAAATTATGGTGGAAAATAAGTATTTGGTCACCTACAAACAAGCAAGATTTCTGGCTCACACAGACCTGTAACTTCATATTTAAGAGGCTCCTCTGTCCTCCACTCGTTACCTGTATTAATGGCACCTGTTTGAACTTGTTATCAGTATAAAAGACACCTGTCCACAACCTCAAACAGTCACACTCCAAACTCCACTATGGCCAAGACCAAAGAGCTGTCAAAGGACACCAGAAACAAAATTGTAGACCTGCACCAGGCTGGGAAGACTGAATCTGCAATAGGTAAGCAGCTTGGTTTGAAGAAATCAACTGTGAGAGCAATTATTAGGAAATGGAAGACAAACAAGACCACTGATAATCTCCCTCGATCTGGGGCTCCACGCAAGATCTCACCCCATGGGGTCAAAATGATCACAAGAAGGGTGAGAAAAAATCCCAGAACCACACAGGGGGACCTAGTGAATGACCTGCAGAGAGCTGGGACCAAAGTAACAAAGCCTACCATCAGTAACACACTACGCCGCCAGGGACTCAAATCCTGCAGTGCCAGACGTGTCCCCCTGCTTAAGCCAGTACATGTCCAGGCCCGTCTGAAGTTTGCTAGAGTGCATTTGGATGATCCAGAAGAGGATTGGGAGAATGTCATATGGTCAGATGAAACCAAAATATAACTTTTTGGTAAAAACTCAACTCGTCGTGTTTGGAGGACAAAGAATGCTGAGTTGCATCCAAAGAACACCATACCTACTGTGAAGCATGGGAGTGGAAACATCATGCTTTGGGGCTGTTTTTCTGCAAAGGGACCAGGACGACTGATCTGTGTAAAGGAAAGAATGAATGGGGCCATATATCGTGAGATTTTGAGTGAAAACCTCCTTCCATCAGCAAGGGCATTGAAGATGAAACGTGGCTGGGTCTTTCAGCATGACAATGATCCCAAACACACCGCCCGGGCAACGAAGGAGTGGCTTCGTAAGAAGCATTTCAAGGTCCTGGAGTGGCCTAGCCAGTCTCCAGATCTCAACCCCATAGAAAATCTTTGGAGGGAGTTGAAAGTCCGTGTTGCCCAGCGACATCCCCAAAACATCACTGCTCTAGAGGAGATCTGCATGGTGGAATGGGCCAAAATACCAGCAACAGTGTGTGAAAACCTTGTGAAGACTTACAGAAATCGTTTGACCTGTGTTATTGCCAACAAAGGGTATATAACAAAGTATTGAGAAACTTTTGTTATTGACCAATTACTTATTTTCCACCATAGTTTGCAAATAAATTCATAAAAAATCCTACAATGTGATTTTCTTGATTTTTTTTTCTCATTTGTCTGTCATAGTTGACGTGTACCTATGATGAAAATTACAGGCCTCTCTCATCTTTTTAAGTGGGAGAACTTGCACAATTGGTGACTGACTAAATACTTTTTTCCCCCACTGTAGTAGAAAGTAAAGTATTCCCCTAGGTAGAAGTCAAAGCCTTGAGTAAAAAATGTAGACATGCAATGAAACAATTTCCTAAACAGACTAACGTTAAAGATGCACTATGCAGAAATCGCTCCGCCATTTCCTGATTGCTAAAATTCTAATAGTTTGCTTAATTTCAGTTTGTGACAAAACAAGCAAGAACAGTGTAGAGAATTATTGTACCATCTAAACCGCAGTGAAATATATTTTCTATAACCAAAACATATTGTATTTTCAGCTGATGTACAAAACCGAAAACGTAATGTAAAAATGTAACTTAACCATCTACATTCTAAGCCCTGTCTAAGAACGGGAAGCATAGAAATAGCGCACATAGAACACACATACTGTTTCTTAGACTTGCTATCAATGAGAATGACAGATCTATAACATCCATTTCTATGTGAATTTGGTCGGGTCGCCCTAAAAGTTACATATTGCAGCATTACGGAGGAGAAGCAACTACACGGGTTAGGACTCCTGCACAAAAACTAAAGAAATATAGGCCAGCATGTATAGAATGGGGTTCATTTCATGACTAATGAGTCTGACTGGTGCTCTGTATGCAACCCTTTCTCTCAGCCACTGTGGAGGATTGCGCTGAGAGTAATGTTGAGATTAGTGCTGCCTGAGAGTACTGTGACTGACCCTAGAGGCTGTGATTAGAACAGGGCATGCAGCAGCAGTGAGGTGTGTATGGCAGGGCCAGGGAAGGGCTCAGAATATCCTGTGCACAAGTGAGGAGGAATGCGGACGCAGCATTGGCGCAATTGAGATTCCACAGGGTGGGCCTTTCTTGCTGCAGATCAGAATACACCCCCCCACTACACTACAGTTCAATTAGATCTACCACTGGCCCACACATAGACATGTATTCCTCTACTGTCCACAGATCCTCTACCCAACACCCATGCGGGCTAACACAGATTATACATGCCGCATTTATGCCAAATGGACATGGTGCAAAATGGGGTATAACCAGTAAAGTCTTTAGAGTCTAAGCTGACATATGTAACTGTTTTAAGATAGTCATACTATTGATGATTTGGATATTTGAATTTTAGGACCCCTTTAGGTAAATACCAAGTAAATAAATAATAATAATAATAATAAATATATATATACACACACACACACACACACACACACAGTGGGGAGAACAAGTATTTGATACACTGCCGATTTTGCAGGTTTTCCTACTTACAAAGCATGTAGAGGTCTGTAATTTTTATCATAGGTACACTTCAACTGTGAGAGACAGAATCTAAAACAAAAATCCAGAAAATCACATTGTATGATTTTTAAGTAATCAATTTGCATTTTATTGCATGACATAAGTATTTGATACATCAGAAAAACAGAACTTAATATTTGGTACAGAAACCTTTGTTTGCAATTACAGAGATCATACGTTTCCTGTAGGTCTTGACCAGGTTTGCACACACTGCAGCAGGGATTTTGGCCCACTCCTCCATACAGACCTTCTCCAGATCCTTCAGGTTTCAGGGCTGTCGCTGGGCAATACGGACTTTCAGCTCCCTCCAAAGATTTTCTATTGGGTTCAGGTCTGGAGACTGGCTAGGCCACTCCAGGACCTTGAGATGCTTCTTCCGGAGCCACTCCTTAGTTGCCCTGGCTGTGTGTTTCGGGTCGTTGTCATGCTGGAAGACCCAGCCACGACCCATCTTCAATGCTCTTACTGAGGGAAGGAGGTTGTTGGCCAAGATCTTGCGATACATGGCCCCATCCATCCTCCCCTCAATAAGGTGCAGTCGTCCTGTCCCCTTTGCAGAAAAGCATCCCCAAAGAATGATGTTTCCACCTCCATGCTTCACGGTTGGGATGGTGTTCTTGGGGTTGTACTCATCCTTCTTCTTCCTCCAAACACGGCAAGTGGAGTTTAGACCACAAAGTTCTATTTTTGTCTCATCAGACCACATGACCTTCTCCCATTCCTCCCCTGGATCATCCAGATGGTCATTGGCAAACTTCAGACGGGCCTGGACATGCGCTGGCTTGAGCAGGGGGACCTTGCGTGCGCTGCAGGATTTTAATCCATGACGGCGTAGTGTGTTACTATTGGTTTTCTTTGAGACTGTGGTCCCAGCTCTCTTCAGGTCATTGACCAGGTCCTGCCGTGTAGTTCTGGGCTGATCCCTCACCTTCCTCATGATCATTGATGCCCCACGAGGTGAGATCTTGCATGGAGCCCCAGACCGAGGGTGATTGACCGTCATCTTGAACTTCTTCCATTTTCTAATAATTGCGCCAACAGTTGTTGCCTTCTTACCAAGCTGCTTGCCTATTGTCCTGTAGCCCATCCCAGCCTTGTGCAGGTCTACAATGTTATCCCTGATGTCCTTACACAGCTCTCTGGTCTTGGCCATTGTGGAGAGGTTGGAGTCTGTTTGATTGAGTGTGTGGACAGGTGTCTTTTATACAGGTAACGAGTTCAAACAGGTGCAGTTAATACAGGTAATGAGTGGCGAACAGGAGGGCTTCTTAAAGAAAAACGAACAGGTCTGTGAGAGCCGGAATTCTTACTGGTTGGTAGAATACCATCCCAACCGTGAAGCATGGAGGTGGAAACATCATTCTTTGGGGATGCTTTTCTGCAAAGGGGACAGGACGACTGCACCGTATTGAGGGGAGGATGGATGGGGCCATGTATCGCGAGAGCTTGGCCAACAACCTCCTTCCCTCAGTAAGAGCATTGAAGATGGGTCGTGGCTGGGTCTTCCAGCATGACAACGACCCGAAACACACAGCCAGGGCAACTAAGGAGTGGCTCCGTAAGAAGCATCTCAAGGTCCTGGAGTGGCCTAGCCAGTCTCCAGACCTGAACCAAATAGAAAATCTTTGGAGGGAGCTGAAAGTCCGTATTGCACAGCGACAGCCCCGAAACCTGAACGATCTGGAGAAGGTCTGTATGGAGGAGTGGGCCAAAATCCCTGCTGCAGTGTGTGCAAACCTGGTCAAGACCTACAGGAAACGTATGATCTCTGTAATTGCAAACAAAGGTTTCTGTACCAAATATTAAGTTCTGTTTTTCTGATGTATCAAATACTTATGTCATGCAATAAAATGCAAATTGATTACTTAAAAATCATACAAT